CTTAAGCATGCAACTATTTTGTTGCTAATGCCTGAAATGAGTAAAGAAAGTCAAAAGCCTATTTATGCAAGATAATTCATAATTTTATTGTGGGGGCTATATTGGTTGGGTCTGATTATTGGGGGGTACGTATTGATCTTATCAATATGGAAGTTCATGTCTCTTTAATTGGATCAGTTTTCAAAAGCAGCTGTTTTTGACAGAAACATGAGAAATGCTTAATGTCTTTAATATTTTAGACATTGAGTACTGTTGGAGTATGGAGCATGGAGCATCTAAACAGCCTGTCTGTTCTCAGAATTTGACAACAAATTAAAGCAAAAACCATTCAAATGTGCTCTTAATATGAAAATCTGTTCGTTGAGAGCTTCTTTCCTGTCCTGCTTAAGTGAAACAGTAAGAGCATGTGGTGAGGTTGGAAAAATCGGTGTGGAAAAATGACAGTCTCAGATGTGTTTACACTGTGAGGTCTGAGCTCAACACTTCCTCTTTGTTAAACCCGATTTAAATACATTCGGCTCAGTTATCAATAGGAACATTTATAGAATCAGTCACCTATCAACGCTGCTTCCTGGAGTCCCTTTCTTTCATTTTTCCATGGTTTCCCTCAGTAACCAGACTGTCCCTGCCTCCCCAAACCCCAACTGAGGTCGGACTTTAAAGTCGTCATGAGACAGCTAAAGGTTTAGTCCATGAGCACTGTCACCATGGAAACGTCACTTCTGAACAAACATAAAGCTGACTGATCGTTCATCAGCTTTTGTTTTCTAGCGTCTCTTCCGGCGGTGCATGTTTGATTCCTCCACAATAAAAGCCCCCTCCCTGTCACACTGCGGCGTGTCGTGATGCGTTCACTGTTAGGGAACGGCCCACCTGCGGCTCACCTGCCAGCCCATCTCGTGTGTACATCAGGGTCCGGGAGTTAGCAGCGCCTTCTCCTCCTCGGGAGCTCCGATAAGATGGCGGATTAACGAGCTGACGTTTATTTCACCCACGCTGCAGTGACGGTTAGTCCCTGCGGAGGGGTGCGGGATCAGATGCGGGATATTTACGGTTTTCCGGCTGAGGTTTTCCGGTGGTGACGCCGGCACACGGCTAACTTCAGCTTTCTGCTGCGGCATCTCGGCCGAAGCCGCTCCGCACGTCCTCTGACCGCAAAACCGCAGGGGCAGGATCCCGGTTTTGACACAAACCCGGGTTTATCAGGGGTTTTTATTGGTTTCAACTGTCAGGTTAGTGCACCGAGGACTAAAGGGGCCCTTTGTGGATAATTCGGGCGCAGGTACACCTCTGAGTGATGCGAACTGCGGGACTCTGATCCCGGAGAGTCTAACTGCAGAATCACATTACAATCGCCTTTTTTCTTTGAAGATAGCCCGGTTTATTTTGGATAATCTCATTCTAAACTTGAAGTGGGTAGATTCAGGACTGACGGGGGCCTTTGTGGATAATTTGGCTCCAGGTAAAATCCTCCTGGGCTATGGAGACATGAGATACGGGCCGGACCAGGAACCCGACCGGAGAGAAGCGGAGCCTGCAGCGGAGCCTAGCATCAAGAAAACCAGTTTTTAGTCACCATCCGGCTTATTCAGGATTTTTTTTTTTTTTTTTTCAGCCGCAGATTTTGAGCCGCATGTCCCGGACCACGGGGGGTCTCTGAGGATCATCCGGAACCATGGGGACTCAGGGACCGGGCCGGAAGAGGATCCCGAACCGGGAGAAACTGACCGGAGAGGACGATGCACTGAACCAGATCGCCCGGGAGGTGAGGATGTTTATTAATAGACCCGCTGGTGTCGATTTGATCGATCAGGGGGAGAAATTTACATCAGAGAAACGTTTCTGTGAATCACAGCTGGTCCCAGCTGTTTAGGGCCCAGGGCCGCACACTGCTTAGGGGCCCCTCTGGACCCCGGCCAAGACTTTATTTCACAGCAGAAGATCAGAAGCATTAAATTATTAATTCAAATTCAAATATTACAGTAAAATATTAATATATCTGAGTAACGTCTAAAAAATTAACATTTTAAAATGTGTTTACATAAAAATAATAGGAACAAATCATGAAATTTTTACTCAATTTGAAAGTGAAATGATAAAATTACAGTATAATTTGTGTTCCAATAGTTTGATACTTCAGAGTATTGTACAGTTTTACTTTCAGTATGTCACAGATCTGTAGATCTTTGGTTCCTCATATTTTCCATCTGACTGTGACATCAGTGGATGGTGTATGGAGTCTAAATCGAGATTAAATCAGGAGATCTGCTGCAGGTCACGTTTGGTGTCACATCTGAGCGGTTTGTAGTAAAGACCTGATGATTGTGATGATGATGATAATTGGGAGGAAAAAATGTGAGAACAAAAGTGTGTCGCCCTGGGTGCTCAAGCTGGAAACTCAGACTGATGTTGCAGATTGACTGCTTTCTAACTCTGAGCCCTGACTATAATCTGTTTTTAGTAAACTGTCTGTTTCAGGTGATAGAACTTGTTATCAGACACTTTTAGTACTTGACCTGGGTTTATAGTGACCAGAGGTGATCTGAAAATAACAGACTGCATATCACCAATTGGCTGCACAGTAACGTCACTTGATGAGTTACGAGAGTGCCTCCTTAACAAAAATCAAAACTGCCATTTTTGAAACACAGGACTTCACTGGAAGTCATTTGATGTAACAACTCCACACACGTTAGGTACTACTCGACTATAATGGAGTAACGCCTATGGTATAGTTCAGGGGTATCAAATGTAAGGCCTGGGGACCAGAATTGGCCCAGCAAGGACTCTAATCTGGCCAGTTTGATGGATTTGGAAGATGTGAAGGACAAAATGTTGGATTGGTAACTATATATATATATATATTTTTTTTTTAGTGCTGTCAGAGTTAATCTTGTTAAAATGACGTTGGACGGCGGTAACACATTAACTAGCTAACCGCGCTAACGTGTTGATAATGTGCAGCCCCACACACAGGGTGATCCACGATAACTCACTAACGGAGATTTGCCGCGTTAACGTTAACGTCATTTTCACGAGATTAACACTGACAGCACTAGGTTTTTTTTTTATGATAAATTTGAAGTGTGGCAGCTTCAGCTGTAATTGAAAAGCTACATAGTCTCGTCCATGTGCATTAGTTTGTTTCGTTATGTTAGTAATTCTGTTAATATTCCCTGTGTATGTACTGCCAACTTTAAAACGCAGTGCAGGGTGTGTAGTTACAAATGTAACACATTTTTGGTTTTAGAAAAGAGAAGATGAATGGAAATGAAGACAACTAAAAACTGTGTGCCACTGATCAGCATCATGATTGGTGATCTCACTAGTCTGTTGCAGCACTTGGGTCCCATCACATTACAGGAAAACAGCATCTCTGCATATCTGCAGTACAAACCAGTTTAACTATGAGGGCAAGAACTCGTAAGTCATGATGCAGGCGAGATGCTGATTTGCTCTCGTTGCCCGGTTCTGGTCAGAAGCTTTCGTGGATGTGGAGTAGGGCTGGGCGATATGACCCAAAATTCATATCTCGATATTTTTTAGCTGGATGGCGATATAAGATATATATCTCGATATATTTTTTTAAAGCCATAAAGTAAGAACAAGAAGAGAGTTCTTATCAAAGCTGTGTCCCAGATGTCACACAGGCACTTTTATTAACATAGAGCAGATGCACATAAAATTTACTCAAAAATAAATTATGAGCATTTATTAAATAATAATGCTCCATAAATAAAAGAAAACAATGTTGTTTTTGTGCATAACAAAAAGCTCACCATTGTGCAGTCAGAATGTAAACTAAAAGACGCCGAGCACAATAACAAAGACAGATTTCACAGCTGCTCTGTTCCCAACTTGTACTGCGTGACTGACAGCCTGGAGTTTGAAATCCGCTTCGCAACCACGTCTCTTAACAGGTGCCATTTATGGTCCTTATACACAGTAGGGTGATATTACGTTGAAGCACAGTACGTATCACTCCGCGAGGCTCAGCCGTAATGCTCCAACAATCCATCAAGCGGTGCAGCTCCGTAGCTTACCAAAGTCGTACTAAAACATTTTTTGACAGATTGCTGAGCGCCGTGTTCCACATAAAATCGGTTCGCGGCCATCAAGCACGACCAGAATTCATACATAAGGCGCGCTGTCAACTTTTGAGAAAATGAAAGGATTTTAGTCCGTGCAGCACCTCTGGGCTGCATGGCGTTAGCGTGGTTAGCTCGTTAGCGTGGTTAGCTAGCTAACACATTGACGCCGTCCAGCGCCACGCACGGGGCGATGCGCAGTAACTCGTTAACGGAGATTTGCCGTGTCCATCTTGTCGCTTCCTGCAGGTGAAGCGATGGGGGAGGAGGGGGAGTTGTGTTCAGTGAAAGAGAGGCGAGGCCAAGTAACGTTGCGTAGAGACGGAAGTGGACGAAAGAGAGGCAAACTTGCGGCTCCACAAGTATAATTATAACGTAACATAGACTATATCGATATATAGGATATTGTCAGATCTTATATCTCGTATAAAAATATATCGATATTTTTTAAAAACTCGATATATCGCCCAGCTCTAATGTGGAGTAAACATCCTTTCATCCAACCCAACACTTATCAGATTCAATGAAAACTCCCAGCATGTGTCACACCTCACTGTGGAGCTTGTTTTTGTTGTTGTTGCTGTTGCTGTTGCTCGGTGATGTTGCTGTTGCTCGGTTGTGGTTCTTCTCTCAGCGGGTGGTGGCGCTAGCTGTGGAGCCTCACCCTGAAACTGGTTTGGCCACATTCAGTGAGCCTGAAGCACGTACACACACACACACAGCCTTTGAGCTGTGTGGGTGTGTGTGTTTCTAATCAGCAGTGTGGACACTGTTAAATCAGGCTTTTTTTTTTTTTTTACTGGAGTCTGGTGTGACACAAATACCAACGTTTTCCCTCCCACTGACCTACTGGGAGAACAAACACACACTCTGTACGTGTGTGTATATGTGCAACCTCTCTTAATCCCCTGCTGAAGCACAAACATTAATCTGCATTTCAGCAGTCACAACATGACGAGCCCACTCATCTTCATCACCAGCAGACTCATCATCACTGCAGTGTAAAGACAAGGACTCTTGTACATGTTTAAATATACCATCAAATTCATGTTTGATAAAGTAAAATGTTTTTAAAACCAGTAAAAGTATAATATTTAGGAGTTTATAAGTACAAAATAAACTGGTGGTACTTTTTATTATTTAAACACTAAACTAGTATTTTTATCATTTAAAAAAAAAAAGATTAATTCAAATTGTGAAAAATCTTTCCAAAAAATTAGGTACTTTTATGTTTACAATAATGAATGTATAATATAATAAAGTAATTGCATTAAAATATAAATATTTTGTAGGCTGTAGCCGCGTTTGTAGGCTGATTACGTTACAGTGACACGTCAAAGGCTGTCCAAACTCGAACACTTCTCCAAATGCATCCGACAAATGCATCCTTAATTTCCCCAGATTTGAAGGCTGGGTTGGGCGTAGGGCTGCCATGATTAGTCGACTAGTCACGATTATGTCGACTATCAAAATCATCGACTAATTTAGTCTTCGACGTATCATTTGAAGCTTTGTAAGATCCCAAAAGACACAGGAATAAGTAAGTAGCAGGATTTAAGAGTGTAATAATGGACTGAAACAGAAGATGGCAGCACTGCGTGTATAAGGATGCCAGCTGCCACTAAACCCCAAAGAAGAAGAAGCAGTGTCGGGTATCGTAGCTGTGTCCAAATTCAAGAATCGCATCCTCCTGTTCCCGCATTTTTAGGCCGATTACGTTACAGCGACACGACGAAGACTGTCCAAATTTGAAGACTCCGACAAATGCAGCCGACAAATGTGTCCTTCATTTCCCCAGATTTGAAGGATGGGTTGCTTCGTGGCCCAACCTATCCCAGAATTCATAGCGCAGCTCTGCTCAGTTTCCAACAATGGCGGCAGCTAGTTAGTTTTAATATTACTCTAAAATGTTATTGTTTGGCTTTTTTCAGTATTTTATTTGTTCCTAAGTAAATCGGTTTGGCTGAGATTAAAGTTATAGTTGTTACACAGCTGAATAAACATCAAGCAGACAACTGATTATCAGAAGTGTGAGAAGCTCAAGAACATACTCCAGTGTCCTGTTATATTTTAGATAGCAAAGAGCAGACGGCTGGGTTTATTAAACTCCACCGAGACAATCTGCAAATTTCATTAAAAGTTTAATAAACTATCATCTTGTCTTTATTTTTGGTTAGCACATACCTTAAACACTTCAAGCTGTAAGCTAATGATAGTTATATAAGAGCAGATGCATGCTGGTGCAATAAGCTGTATGTTTTACGTCCAATGGATGCATGATCTGATTAGTCGACTAATCGCAAAAATAATCGGTGACTAGTCGACTATCAAAATAATCGTTTGTGGCAGGCCTAGAGTTGAGTGTTCTCAGGTATCTCTCAGGTGTGTGCTGACAGTTAGATGGAGGGAGTGTCTCAGGTATGAAGAGAGGTGGATGGACCACATTCCTTCTGCAGTGACAGAACACACAGCTTAAATGTTGACAGGTGTTTGCACACTCGGGTGTACTGTCCTTTTAAGTGGTGTCCTGGAAACAGCAGCTTTTCTTCTCTGGTAATTTAAGTCATTTCTGATGTTGTCACAAGTCTGGACACCTTTTCTTTTTAGACATACCTGAGCTGAGGCATGTGTTATCAGGTGATTTGTGGCAGCCAATCACATGACACCTATAGATTGATTCAGTAATTACGACGATGTCTCCTGTGGAGTAATTGATCAGCTGGTGTCTGACTGTGATCACCTGTACTTTATAATAACGCTGTTGTTGTGCTGATAAATCTTTTTGAATGAACCTGAGAGACACACTGATGCCCCCTGCTGGACTCACCTGAGACTCACCTGAAGAATCAGACCTCAAACATTTACATCAGTTTCACATAAATATATTTACTGTTTAACATTTTCACAGTATTTTAGGTTATTTTTGCAAGTAAGATGTTGTTTTTAATTTTATTTTTTTCAGATAAAATATTTTTAGGTTACAAACTTTTTTTTTAAACTTGTATTTACATAATTATTTAATGCTTAAAATAAAAATGAAAGATTGTAAATAAGAAGTGTTTAAAAAAAAAGAACAGAAAATGTTTCAAAATAAGCAACAAACTGTTTATTAAAATGTAATTTTCAGGACATTTTTATTTATTTATTTTTTTTATTTGTTTTGGTGTGAATTTTTTTTTTTTTTTAATTTTAAGCTTTAATGTCATTACTTTTTAGCAGCTTTACATTTAGAATTTAATTTAATAAAAGCAGGAAGTGGTTCAGGTTTATGGTCTCTAACAGTGACTGATGACATCACTGAGTGTATTGATTAAAGCTGAGAGGAATTTGATCGAGTTATTGATCAATGACGAACAGACAGCTGAATGAGGCTTTTATTTATTTATTTTATTTTAACTTACATTCTTATTAAAGTTACATAACATTCATGTTTTATTATCAATCACAGTTTTGGGTTATTTATTTATTTATTTTTTGGTGTTTATTATAAAAAAATGTTATTGCTGACTCATAGCATTTGAAACCTGTGACCCGGTAATTGGTTATTGATCACAAAATTTTGGCTGATGTATTGATCTCCATGTGTGTTCAGGCGGAGGCACGGCTTGCAGCTAAGCGGGCCGCGAGAGCCGAGGCCCGAGAAATCCGCATGAAGGAGCTGGAGCGACAGAAAGAGGTTAGCAGGCTTTTATTTTTTAAGAAACAATGATTATAATTGTGGTGATCAATTACTGATCAGAAAGAGAAGAGCTCACAATTTCACATGGAAACAGTTTATTTTACAAGCTTGTGAAAACAGTTTGATGCAAGGAGGAAAAACTGACTTCTTCAGGTATGTTTTAAAACCACGTAAATAAGAACAGTTAAAAAAAAAATTTGAAAATGTAAAAAGCAGGTCATCTTCTCTTTGTTGATTCATTCATTCTAATGACCTTTGACCTCAGTAAACACTGTTCCTGTTCTCAAGTCTTATCTTATAAAATTTCAGGCTGTGCAGCAGGGCTGCATGCCGTAAAAAAAAACTCAGTTTACTAAAGAGTAAGAATAAACAAAGACAGGAAGTCATCAAATTGTGTTTATGTGAGGTCAAAGGCCAGTCTGACTGAGCCTTTAGTCACCGCTCGGTCTGAAGTGTGGAGGTAACCCGGCCTTGTCCTGCTGTGGTGAGTCTCAGAACAACTTTATTAACAATAAATTATTACAGTGTGTCTGTTTACTGATTGTTTGTAATGATTAGTTTGTTTTCATCAGCTCTTCTGATTTAGTTTCTTATACCAAAGATATAAAAAATAAGAAAGGGCTTTGAATGACGGGTCATTGATCAGTGAGTGACTGATGAATGAGATTCAGAAAAGAGCTGAGCGTCATCAGCCTCTGACAAAGTAAAAAAACTGCTTTTGCTGTGAAAGTCGGACAAGAAGTTAAATAGTTACATTTCTATAAATGTGTAGTTACTTTGAAATTGTTGGAGACACAGACTCTGGGTTTAAAGTCTCAGCCGTTATCTCCCACTGAGCTGCAGTCTGTTTGTGTCCTCTGTCTTCATTATCCTGGACACCCTTTTGACCTTTGACCTCTGGCTTCTCTGACCTGTTTTTTCTCTCCTCTCGTTCTTCCTTTAGCTGTTTCACAGTCATAAGGTATGAATAAGTCCTCCATTCAGCCTTAACTCATTCTTTCTTTTAGTTTTATCTTTTTGGGGGAACCAGCTGGGTAGGGCTTTGCACTAACTCCACCCAGCTGGTGTCCCCAGAAGGACAAAGCAAACAGATTTCATATTTTGTCTTTGAATAGTTGAAACTTTGTCCTTTCCCCCATTTGATCTTCTCCTCTTCCACCTCTTCGTCCTCCTCTACAGAAGTATTACGGTGTGGATAATAAGTGGGGTCACATTGAGCAGTGGATGGTAGGACTCTGTGCGAGTGTCAGGCTGACACATGAAAGCTCCAGTGGAGATAAAGGGCCGTTTCATCATATTACCTGTGCAACAGCTCATAGTCAATCATATGACTCTAAAACAAGACTTGAGTTATAATAAAACACGGTCTAATAAAAAATACCCGTCGTGTAAGTACATAATAATTACATTTAGATAACAGTGTAGCATATTACATGAGCTGTATATGCAAAATGCAATCAATGCAATGCATCATTAGAAATGAAACAACATATTAAATGTGTATCCACAAATAAAACAGAAATGAATTTAAATAGGCGTTGTATTAGAAGTCATTAAAAAATAGAAAGTAAAAAGTATCCGATTTTAGAGTTTTATAATTATAATCAATATTTTAAACAATGTAACAGAACCTGTTTTCTGTGTAACATAAAATAAACCAGCCCTTTGAAGCCTCCCATGTGACTCTGGGCTGTACACGTTAACATGAGTTACATTTAAGAGTGTCACAGTTTGAAATAAAATACTAATAATGTAATTTGTTTGATATAAATATAAAAGAAAGGAAAAATAAAATTGTATTGAAAATGCCGTAATTTTATATTAAATGTTGAGTTCATATTACAGGACAGAGATCATGACAATAATTCATCAAATATTGAATTTAATTTTGTTAACACAGTGTGATTCAGCAAAAAGTTGAATAAAAGTTTAAACTTTAATGCGATTTAATGGAACGTGATGTAAGTAAAAGCAACACTGAGGTGTCTTTTATATCACGTAACACAGCATATTAAAATGTAATGAATATAAAAAAGAATAAAACAGTATTACCTTAATGTAAGCTACATGTACATGAGCACAGTTTAACGTTATGTTAAAAGTCAAATAAAACTGAGCCTGAATCCAGATGTTTGAGTGAAACCAGCTGATTTTTTTTGTCTCAATCCTAAAGCCTGACCCCATTTACCCAGCTCTTTTTTTTTTTTTTTTTTTTTTTTTAGTGCGTAACAGCAGGAGTTTTCATGTGTCAGCAGGATGCCACTGTCTGTTGTTGTTGTTGTTGTCTGTTCTGCACGTGCTCAGACAGGCTCAGATTAATGGCCTGTTTAATCCTGTCTGATAGATTATCAGTTATCATCCTCCCAGTAACCGTTCCTGCTCGCACGTCTCTGCAGCTGCTGCTGTCTCACACCTGCGTCTGATTTCTGTTTAATTCTAATTAATATTAACTTTTATATTTGTGTCAATTTGCATTTATTTTTAAATTAATAGAGTATTACTTTTAACTGCTTTTTGTGTATCTTCATTTTTTATTCTTGTATTTATACTTTTACACTGTGTTCGACTTATCCCCTAAGCAGACCTCTTTTATTACTTTTATTTTCTTTCTTTTTTTAAAATAAGAACTACAAAATTTTTGTAGTATTTTGACAGGCTATGGTCTGTCATTTCTCCCCCCATGCTTCTTGTCTGCATGCAGCAGCCTTCATGTGTTTGTGCTTTATTAGACCATGCCAATGATGCAATAACCTGCTGTTTAACGTGTTCAGAGGACACCTGCCGCCTTCTTCTTTGGTTTCAATCTTTTAACCTGCTTTCTACTTCGTGGCCTTTCAGGAGGATAGTGAGCGGTATTCTCGCCACTCTCGGAGGCACGCGTCGGTCTGTATCTCTTTCCTGTTTTTCTGTTTCTTTATTTCTTTAACAAATTAAAAATCATGTGTGTTACCTGTCCACGCTGACTATCACACCTCCAGTTACGACTTGTGTGGAAAGGTGTATTTGGGACACTATGACATCATTGTAGGCATGGTTAGTTTCCACTAACTCACCAGGAGGTCTGAGTGTTTGGTCCCCTAAAATCTAAACACAAAGCAACATCCTAAGGCTGGATCAACTTCTAAAGAACATTAGATCATCCAATAAGCTCTGGATAGTTTACACTCAGGTCTAACTCAGGTCTAGTAAAGCTTTTTTTTAAAAGTTTTTATTTATATAGCACCAAACCACAGCAGCAGTCACCTCACGATGCTTTATGCTGTAAGGTAAAGCCTGTGCAATGACACAATCAATGACGTGAAGAACTGTGCTGTCTGTTGATGCTCTGCTTGTTTAATTGCAGATCTCTGACGATGAGGAGAGGATGTCAGTTGGGAGTCGAGGCAGCCTCAGGGTGAGTTCACATCTCAGCATTTTAACCACAGAAGAAGAGTTTACTACATAAAAACCTAGTTTTTATGGACACTGCTCAGGTTCTGCTAATGGACTGCGGCTCGTTAAGCTGCTGTATGAAGCATTTTGGTGGTAAATGACAGAGGTTGAACGTGAAGACTAGATATGAGCAGCTCGTTCAGAGCTGCAGAGCTTCATGCTGATTACTGCAGGTTATGTACAGACGGGGACGCTGCTGCGGCAGCTGTAAGCAGGAAAGAGACAGGAGGCCGATTAATAATCAATAACATCAAGAGGTTGAGTCACATCATGAGCTTGCTCATTGTGAGGTCACTTCTTGTGAAAATAAAGAGTCTGGTCGTCTCTACCTGTCTGCAGCCTTCAGCATTTTTCTCTGATGCTCCTCGCTGCCACGGCTATAGGGTCTGACTCTCTGACATCACTTCCTGTGGTTGTGTGTAGCTCAGTAGAAGATCAAACTGAGTAGCAGTGAAGTTAGAGCAAACCTGTCTTATGATCAAACTCATTATTGACCCACATGCTGATTTCATCCTGATTAATCAAAACATTTAAGTTCCATTGATCATTAATGAGTTTGATCAGTTTTCTAAAGATTTATTTTTACATCTTGATAAAGTGATAAACAACTGATGACACCAACTCTTTTCTTTCTTCTTTCCTTCCCTCTCTACCTCCTTCCTGTGTCACCTTCACATTTAATTTTTGATCCTCTTTTTCTCATCTCCTTTCTTCCTTCCTTCCTTCAATCCTAATTTTTCTCCCTCCGTCCTTTTTTTCTCCTTTCTCTTATTTCCCTTTCACCTGCATTCATTCCTTTTCACCCTTCCTCTTTTCCTACATCCTCTGTACCCTCCTCCTCCTATGTCCAGCCTTCGGACTACAGCGGGTTTCTGGGTTCGGGTTCTCGGGCCTCTTCCAGGGCCAGTTCAGCTCGGGCAAGCCCAGTGGTGAGCTCTCATCTCTGGATGTCTCAGTCTGACTCTGTGGCCCCCCCTGCTGGCTGCTCGCAGCCTCACTCATTGAAGTTTACAGTAAAACTCAATCAGTCATATCAATAATCAGTGTTTCTGTGTTCAGGTGGAAGAGAGGACAGACAGAGAGTTCCCAGATAAAGTGAGCCCACTCTTGATTTTATTTTATCTTTTTAAAAACATCATGTTTTTTAAACTTGTATAAAATTTATGTTTAATATTTATTTTTTAAAAACTAAAATACTGTAATTTTACCAAGTAAATACATTTTTTGTTATTGATTTATTTTAAATGATCTGATATAAATTTGGTAATCATTTTTGTGTCAGGGCTCTAGGACGGCCTCGACGCTCTCAGCAGCCACTCTGGCCTCGCTGGGCGGAGCCTCATCTCGCAGAGGAAGCTGTGACACGTCATTCTCCGTAGAAACCGAAGCGTCCATTAGAGAGATGAAGGTCACGTTTAAAAAAACCATGAGACAGTTTCTTTAGTGTTTGAAACAAGTTGAATTCAAGATTTAAATAAATGTGTCTCAAGCACTCACCAGTTTTAGTGCTCATGTTGAATAATGAATTAATGAATAATAAATAATAAATAAATAAATGTACAAAGTTTGTTTCAAGGGCTTTACTGTGATAAATATGAAAAAAATAAAAACCTATTTTGTGACTGTAGGACTCTCTGGCGGAGACTGAGGAGAAGTACCGTAAAGCGATGGTTTCTAACGCTCAACTGCACAACGAGAAGTCGACTCTGATGTATCAGGTGGAGACGCTGAGGGAGGAGCTCAACGAAATGGAGGAGCTGCTGTGGGAGACGCGGCGCCGCTGCGACGATGCACACAAGGTCACATATTTGTATACATTTATATTTGCAACCATGTTTGATATGAATAGAGTCAAAGAAAAAGAAAGTCCACGTATCATCATTATATATCATCACCGTGTCTCATTTATTTGACAAAAACTGAACTCAAATATAGAACCACAAGTGTCTCAGTCGGACTGAGGTCTGGACGTTTGTGGCACCTAACGTTTCTAACGGAGATTTGCTGCCGTGCTTTGGATCATCATGCTGTTACCCAGTTTCAGCTGTGACACTAACGGCCTCAGATTTAACTCGAAAACTTTCAGTTCACTTTCTTGTCACAAGAAGGGAAAGTTGTTCAGTGCAGCAGCTTATATGATTTTGATTACAGCAGTGAAAAACATAAACATGCAATAAATACAAAAAACAAATTATTACAAAAAAAAATTAAATATACCTAAAATTTCATCTGTGAAAGTTCTCAGTCATCCAGGTCATTGTAGTTATGGATCTTCGAAAGAAAAACGTCTGGGCTTCTTTAAGTTTCTTGAAGACGTTTTTTTTTTTTTTTCTTTTTTTTTTTCTTTGAGAGCTTTAACCTTAAATGTAAAGGCTGAAATTCTGCTTACAGGCTGTGATACATTCAGCTTTCTGAAGCACCAACACCTCTGAGATTACAGCGTTCTCAAGAGTATCTTACTTCCTTGTTTCATAGCATTCTGTAACCCAGGACTGTTCTGCACATTTCACAACATGTGATCAGTAAAAAAGATTCAATAAAAAAACATTATCTTTTCTCTGAGACTTGCACGGTGTGATCTCGGGGTGAGTTTGCTGGGACGTCCTCTCCTGCCTTGAATGTTTTCCACTTGTGAATAATCTTTCTCACCGTAGAATGATGGACCTCAGATTGTTTGAAATGACCTCATAACCTTTCCCAGATTGACAGGAAGCAGCAGTTGCTTCTCTAATATCATTGATTATGTCTTCCTTACCTTCATGTTAACACACCTGAAACTTCAGAACTGCTCAAAATGCACCTTGGTGTTACCGACCCTCATAGTTCCTTTGGAAGCAGTGAGGCTGGAGTTTGTTCTTCATGAACAGTTAAATAATGTGAAATAAAGACACGGCATAATATTAGATGTGTATTACGTTTGGTACATAAAGCCTAAGCAATTTAAAGAGGGTCTTCTTTTTTTTTACCATGTCTGTAATTATCTTAACTGCAGATTTGAGGATTTTTTTTTTTCTCGTCTACTGTTGTTGTTTATCAGTGTGTGTTTGTGTGTGTTTTCAGGAGTGGGAGCGTGAGCGTCATGCTCACAGCTTACTGCAGTTTCACTTCAAAGACATGAAAGAAACTCTGAGAAAGACTGAGGAGCTGCTCACGGTTGGTTAACACGCACACTATGTTACTTTTAATTACAGCGAAGACATGTAGCAGAAACAGTTGAGCACACAAAGTCCAAAAAGCTCAAACTAAAGCAAAAAACAGAGATAAATATGACACCAAACGAACAAATCACGGTTTGTAATTCATTTGACATCTTTGTAACAGTATATAAGGAAACTATCTGATAACTTTGTACACCAGTGAATTCATACACT